GGTGAGTGTGAGGAAGGGTCAAGGCTGGGGGCTGGGTGTGGGAACATACGATGGGGTTGCTGAAGGGCTTCTTAAGGAGGTTTTGAGGATGCTGATTAGGAGAGGAGAGGATGATTATAGGGGCCTAATTGGCAGAGTTGGTTGGGGGGCAGGATATGTGAGGCTGGGGGAACTAGTGAGAGGACTCTGTGAGAAGGGGGTTATGGGCGTTGAGGTGGAGCAGGCTGGTTGGTTGGGGGCAGGCTGTGGGAGTGATTGCTCTGGGTTAGTGGGATTTGTTTGGAGCTGCTTACTCTGGAGGGGGATTTGGCTTGGTTGAAGGAAATGTGTGACTGGCTGTGGGAAATGAGTGACTGTGGTGTGAGAGGTTGGTTAGGTGATAGGTTATGTGTGAAAGGAGTTAGTTAGGGGGCTGGTTTAGGGACATAGGTTACAGCAGCCTTGTGTGAGAGCTAGATGTAGAGGGGATAATAAAAGCTTGGGAAAACAAGAATATTCTGCAGCGGAACTTGTCTGAGAATACAGTGAATATTACTAGTTTTGCTTACTATTCCCTTCTAAAGCCTCTCATTTCTTTTCAGAGAAGCTTTAATTGTATATTTTCTCTTTGTTGTGTGTTTTTTTTCTGTTTCAAAATGTCCTTTTCATAGCCCTACCCAATACTGCTGGGAGAACATTACCAGTGTGGTTTAATCCCAATAGTTCAGTTTTATTAAAACAAAGAAGGAAGGTTTACAAAAGCCAATTTGGATTAAAAATATAATTAGTTAAATATTCAGATGGGAAGGCTTTTCCTTTAATTGCTCTTCAGAGATTGAAATCCACCTACGTTTGAGTTTCATCTGAAAACCTGAAAGTTAAACTGAGACGTTTCACTGACCAGAGTTGGTTGTAATGCAAAAAGTCAAGCAAATACTAATGCTGAAAAGATAATCAGATGTTAAAACTATTTTTAGTTATTTAAAGCAGTAATAGCAGATGGAGAATTTTAAAAAAAGTATCCTGGTCTTATACTCTTTGTTGTAAATATCTTTATGTACTTAAAACACTCAGAAATGTTTCATCTTTTTGAAATCACATTGATACTTAATCAGGGTGCGGTTACTGTATATTTGATTCAGGAGCTGTTGGGTTTCTCATTCATGTCTAACCACAATTCCAAGAAGTGTGTAAAAACTTGGTATAACCTTTCATGTGTTATTGTATCAGACCTGTGTGGAGATGCACTGGAACCTCATACTAGGGCTTGTGTTTCTGCATCTGAGGTGTGTTTACCTGACATATTAATCACATGCCAGTCACTTTGTTATGTATTGCCACCTGAGGCATGATAGATGACATCCTAACATGTCTCAGGTGCAGAACTGCACAGTAAGATTTGTTGTGGGAGTTGTATACACACATGCCTTAGGTTCAGTCATACACAGTTTGGTTTGTGTTTAGTATTAGAGTCTGCATTCCGGTTCATTATTACTGTACTAGAGATGAGTATGTATTAAAACACCCGTGCCAGGCTGTGTATTGTGCCTGATACATCAATTGGCATGTGATTAGGGTATGATTGTTCCTGACATTGAAACTGTGTTGCTTCACTTTTAAGCTAAATGACAGTTAAGAATGCTGATATACCTGTCATTGGAATGATTTTATTTTGATGTACAATAGTTGCTTAATACGGGAAATGATTTTCAGGGAAAAATGTCTTGGGTATTATAGCTTACTTGCACAATTTAAAATCCATTCCATTGTATTATGTTTTCAGAAGATATTCTTTAATCTCTTTATGGAGAATCTCTAGGAACATTTAAGTCTTTTATTTTGGAACTGTGGAAATTAAGTCTGTTAACGTATTTGACTTATCCACAGAAATGTGTTTTCTTGCATTTGACTATCGAGCATTAGCAAACTATCCTCCTTTTTAAGGACCTGGTTTTAGCTTGCATACAACAATGCTGGTTATGTGGCTGGAAGGAGGATTTCCTTAGTTTGTTTGCTGGCTGCCTTTCCTTTGTTTCTCATACATATTGACTGGGTACTGATTTATTGGTAAGTCTTGAAGGGCAGCTACTTTGCAAGTTAGAGCTACTTAATTTCTGTGTTCTCTTTCATAATTCTTGGAAATGCGCATTCTATTTTGGCCTTTAGAAATTAGAAGCACAATCATTTTTCCAATATCCGCCTAATATGTCTCATCTGTATACCTGGCTCTAGGTGCCTAAAGCAAGAGATGTTGTAGGTCAAAATAGAGTGCTAACAAAGCCCAGTGCATCTTCCAGTTAAAATAACTGGGGGTGTCGGGTGCTTCAGCAAAGCTCTATGTTGTGAAGATGGAAGAATGGCCCTTTGGGGTTAAGGTAGGGATGTAAGCAAGTAGTCGAGTACTCAATTACTCTCCCCCTCCTCCCCGCCTCTTATACAGAAACAGGAAGCTGGTGCCCCACACGGTCTCCGTGGTGCTGCCTGCCCCTCTCCCCCTGTGCTGCTGCCTCTGTTAGGGGGGATCCCGGCGGCCAGCTCTTACTATATTTAAAATGCAGAGCCCCGCTGTGGTCGCAGAGCCCTCCTGGCGGTGCACGCCAGGACTGAGCCGGGCTTGCTCAGACCCAGTTCGCTCCGGTTTGGGGACCTACCCCCATGGCGGCTCTGCAGTTTAAATGTAGTAGGAGTTGGGCAGCAGGAGGAGAATGGGGAGAGGAGAGGCTGCCCTGACAGCAGCTCCTGTTGACAAGGGTTGCTGCCGGAGCAGCCTCTATTCGTGGCCAGCCTGGGCTGCTGCAAACGGGCTGCTGGATCTGGCACAAGCCAGGACTGAGCAGTCCTGGCCAGCACTGGTCCAGGACCGCTGTGGCTCTGCATTTTAAATGTAGTAAGAGCTGCCCAGTTGCAGTCCTGGAGCTGGCGCCAGCTGGGACTGCTCAGTCCCGGCTCACACCGGCTCTGGGAGATGTCCACGCTCTTCAGAGGCCCCTTATTGACTAATTGTGTAATTGATCCAAATTGTATCAACTACACGATTAGCCAGATACCTGCTCCTTAACACCCTTAGGTTAGGATGATTTCAGGATGATTGTTACTGTCATTGCACCCAAATTACTCAGAAGGGTAACAACTGCTTAAAGGGCCCTGATTTCCTGAAGCATGTGAAACTTTTGTAAAATGGGGAGGCCAAGCTCTAACCTGCAAAGACAATAGTATTTGGTAGATAATTATAAATACATGTTCTTAAAGTGCATGCACTTACTCCACTCATGACATACAATTCTTTCAGAGAGAGTATGGAATAAGATAGATTTTGAAGTTAAATATCAAATATTTTAAAAGTAATTAGTAAAATGTGTGGGAAAGGAGCCAGAGAAGAATGTTCTCTTAGTGCTGGGGAATACTTCAGTGTAAGCAGCTTGTGAAACTGAGGTTGTGCTGTAGCATGTTCAGTTTGAAATACAATTAAACATAGAATACAAGCTTGAATCTGAGGCTGCGAAATTGTACGTTGGCTATTTCCCAGTCTCCTAGCCTGGAAAGGGAACGGGCTTTGTAGCCTGCTTCTCCTCCTACAGGGAAGAAGATGGTGTTATATTCATACAAATATTTATCTATCTTTCAGATATTGATTGATCTGTGAAGGTCAGGGCTTGAGCCCTGCTGGATAGAAAAGCTGTCTTTTCACAGCCATGCGAACTGCGGGATGAAGCTAGAGGCTGTTGTTGAGCAGCTGCAGAAGCAGCAGCAGCAGCAAGGTCCTCTGCAGATGGATTCCAGAGAGAGACAGCAGAGGCAGATGAGAGAAGCCCAGCTGCTTTTTACTCAGCAGTTGGCTGCACAGCAGGCTGTTCTAGCAGCCACATCTGGCAGGCCTTCAAGCAGCCCAGCACTTGGCCCTTTGGCCAAAGTCCCACCTGCCGTTGGGGCCACGCGAGCTTTTGATCAGAGCAGTGTGACCTCAGAGCTGGAGGATGAGGAGGAGGAGGAAGAGGATGAAGAGGAAGAGGGTTTGGAAGATGGAGATCTTGATGAGGACACTGAAATGGCTGGGAAAGATGCCTGTTCTACTCTGAAGTATTTTCATTCTCAAAAAGCTGCCCATCACAACCAAAGAGTGGCTTCTACCTCCAATCCACTTCCAGCCCCAGGACTTCCACGGGGACAGCAGGGAAAGGAAGAACAGGGTAAAGACACTACTAAGCAATCATACTCTGGTTCCCCATCTGGGCGGCAGACCTGGAGAGTGGATGAGCAGCTCAAGCAGGTCAGTACTGAAATCTCTTCTCTCTGAACAAAGGCTCTTTCTGCCAAGAGTGAATTTAGTACTTGTGAGAGGGGACAGCTCTGTGCATGCCGCTCTCTAACTGTCCACAGAAGATGTCAATTGAAGCTGTTTGGCTACATGTGTCAGCCATGATCAACAAGGGCCACAGCTAGAGGTGAAAAAGGAGCTTGGTCTTGGTGTGCTCGTTTTGTTCTTCAGGCTTCTGTAGAGCCTCTGAGCAAAGGGCTTTGTGGGGGGGGGGCACACCAAGATTTTGGTAAGTCGTCAAGGGCTGCACTTTTCTATGGACGAGGCGTGGGATCTGGGACGGAGTTTGGGTGCAGAAGGGAACTTGGGGTAGGAGCTTTGGGTGCTGGAGAGAGTGTAAGGTTTAAGAGGGAGTTTGGATGAAAGCAGGATTTGTAACCTGGCATAGGGGATTGGTGTGTAGAGTCTGGGAGGGGGTATGAGTGCAGGAGAGGATTCTGGTGCAGGGTCAGGGAGGGAGTTGTGACCTGGAGTGGAGGGGTGTAGAGAATTTGAGTGGTGACCTGGGGAAGGGAATTGGAGTGCCAGAGGCAGGCCCTAGCTGGGGGGCGCTTACATAGGTGGCTCCAGGCTGGCAGCCCAAGTAGGGATGTAAAATCCTGTTTAATTAGTTAACTGGTTAGACGTTAAGTTTAACCTGTTAACAGCTTAAATGGGAGTGAGCGGGGGTTCTGGAGTGGCCCCTGTGCCACAGGCTGGGGTTACTCCAGCCTGGCTGCTTCCAGCCCCACATTGGGCTGCTGGCTCCCAGCTGTACGGGTTCAGAGGCTGGGAGCCAGCAGCTCCCCCTGCCCGCCCTGGGCTGTTGCTTCTGGTCCTAAATGAGGCTGTTGATTCAAAGCCACTGTTCCCTGTAAACTGAGTGCTTGGGTGGCCACCGAGGAGAGATTAAGATGCTGATCAGCAGTGTGCCCAGGACACTCACAGCCGGCAGCATGTGCTTCCATTGGTGGTGCACATCTGCACATGCCTCAGTGCACGTAACCAAATTTATTCTACACATGGATAGAAAATATTAGAGGGAACAGTGCTCCCAGCCCACGTGGGCTGGGAGCCAGCAGCTTCACAGAGGCTGGAGCAGCCCTCTGCCCATTACCTGTTCACATCCCTCAGCCCAGTGGGATCCTAAGGCAGGTTCTCTACCTGCCATAGCCCAAGACCACTCAAAGCAGCTGGCTGCTCCATGAGCTTCTCTGTGCTGGGTGCTGGGGAGGAGTTGAGCGGGGAGGCTTCACACACTGCCCCTACCCCTAGCACAATCTCTCAACTCCAATTGGCTGGTTCAAACTGCTCCCTGCCTGAGGCTCCTAGTGGGATGTGGGCAAGATTCAAATGTTGATGGGCGGGATCTTGCCTGCCCCTGGTCTAGTCAGCATCACTTATTGTGATGACTTCTGCTGTCAGCACCTGTCTTCTAGTAACTGGCTTAACTTATTTTTCATAGACCAGTCATGAGCCCTCAGGTAGTAAAGACTTTCAGGGGCTATGAACTTGGGCAGAATTTGAACCTGTGTCCTAGTGAGATGAAAGGTCCATATCCCATTAATGAATGTGTCAGCAGCACAGCCATTTTGTATTTCATGAATGGATGGAAAGTGACTGACTTGCTTATTAAAACGTAAAAAACAACAATGCTCCTGTAGCACCTTAGAGATTAACCAAAAACATAGATAGTAACAGGAGCTTCTTGGACACAGCCCACTTCTTCTGATAAGCTCTCGATACTATCTATACGTTCTATGGTTTAGTCTCCAAAGTGCTACAGGAGCATTGTTGTTAAGTTTATTTTAGTTACAGACTAACCCTCTGTGACTTTCTTATTGTATGGTTACAGAAGGATGATGATACTGGGTTTGAATGTATAATTACCAATGTTTGAAGCTATATGCCAGTAAGGCCAAGAGCTCTTTGCTTTACTATGTCCGTCTTAAATGTGCACTTCTATAGGGTGCTTAAAATTAATTCGCTCTAGCGTTAGCTTAGTTAGGTGTGGGAATAGCCTGTCATGTTGAGGTTGGTACTAAGGGTTGAGTGTAGAGGTTGGTATTAGTTGCTCTTTGCTACATGCTAGAGGGTGGGTGAGCTTGGGTAAGGATTCCGTGGGTTGAATGAACTCTGCTGTGGACATATCTTGAGCTATACACAGAGAGTTTTACCCTTGGAAATCCTGTAAATAGAAAGATTGGTGCTTCTTTGTTAGTGTTTGCCATGAGCCCTGACAGTTCAAAGTAGGGGTATAAAGTCCTGTTTAATTGGCTAACCGGTTAAACATAATAAACAGAGGCTGCTCCGGCCAGCCAGGGTGCCGCAAAGGCAGGGCAGGGGCGGCTGGAGCAGCTCCCTACCCGCAGCAGGGGGCAGCTGCTTCAGCCTTCTTTGGTTAAACTGCTAAACCTTCATATCCATAGTTCAGAGCCTGTCCCTTAGATCCCTGGTTTTCAAACTTTTTTCTCGTAACCCCAGTTGAAGAAAATTGTTCATGCCCATGACCCAACATAATTATATATTTTGACTAGAGTATAGGTTCTGGAGTGGGGCCAGAGATGAAGGGTTTGAGGTGCAGGCTCTGTCTGGGATAATGAGATCTGGGGTGAGGCTAAGCATGAGGTATTTGGGGTGCACAAAGGAGTTGCAGGTTTGGGGGGCTGAGGCAGGGGCTGGAAGTCACCAGCAACAGGTCAGGCTCCTAGGTGGAGGCATGCAAGTGTCTCTGCATATCACTCTTGGCCGCAGGGCCCCCCCCCCTCGGGTTCCCATTGCCTGGGATGTGCAAGCCGGAACTTGAGGCAAGTCAGCATGTGGAGCCCCATGGTGCCCACCCCCCTCCCCCGCCCCACCCCATTAGGAGCCAGACCTGCTGCTGGCAGCTTCTGGGACAGCAGGAAGCCTCCCTTAGCATCCCCACTGGTCACCTGGTCATCCTCCAACAAGGCAACCCAGTGCCTGACATTCCACGACCCACTATTGGGTTGGGACCTATAGTTTGCAAACAACTGCCTTGGATACTGTGGGTCTGAGACAAAAGGGCTTTGCTTTACACTCTCATGGGTTTTTTCAATGAGGAAAGATTCTTATTTGACCAACATGCTCATGGAATATCAGCCGATCATGTCTGCACCAAGCTCATACCCTGATTTGCTAGCTTCCATGTTGAGGCACTTGACAGGACTCTGTGAAAGTTGCCAAGTCAATGGTAAATAGGATTCCTGACTCTCCATGCTGGGGAGTACACTAAACAACTGTGCTGCTAGGGATTTGGCAGCCTGCCAGCTGATACTTCAAAGTGCTTGTGGCTTGTTTAAGTGTTTGAAAAGTGGCTACTTTGAATGAGGAGTTGTTCAGACTGTTGTTCTCAGGAAACTAGGTGGGTGTGTCATTTAGGTGACAGTCTTTGGTGAAATCGCTTCAAAATTTGCTAGGTGTTCAATGTTAAACCAGAGCATAGTGACGGAAGGGAAGACTCGTTTCCTTTTTTGCAGTCTCTTAATTTGACATAGCAGTCAAGGAGCTGACAGCACAGCAAGGCTCCTTAGTGGAATGCTGTAGCAGGCTTTATAAAATGAGAATCTGGAATTGGAGGGGTTTTTGTAGTAGCTGCTGATCACAAGTCTCCTTCTGAGATGCATGAACAGGAGTGTCGTAAGCAAGACAAGAGAAGAAATTCTGCTCTACTCTGTACTGATTAGGCCTCCACTAGAGTATTGTATCCCGTTCTGGATGCCACATTTTAGGAAAGATGTGGACAAATTGGAGAAGGTCCAGATTAAAGGTCTAGAACAGGGGTGGGGAACCTTTTTTGGGTTGAGGCCTGCTGACTCTCAGGAAACTCAGTTGTGGGGGGCCATACACTAGTGAGATTTTTGTGTGCTCCAGCCCTGCAGTGGAGTGGCAGGGGGAGAGGCCCTGAGTCTCGGGGACCGGATCCAGGCAAGCTAGGGGCCACATCTGACACCTGAGCCTGAGGTTCCCCACCCCTGGTCTAGAAAACATGACCTCTGAGGGAAGACTGAAAGAACTGGATTTGTTTAGTCTGGAAAAGAGAAGACTGGGAGGGGACATAACAGCTTTCGAGTACGTAAAAGGGGTTACAAGGAGGAGTGAGAGAAATCATTCTTTCACCTCTGATGCTAGGATAAGAAGCAATGGGCTTAAACTGCAGCCTGGGAATTTTAGGTTGGACTTCAGGAAAACTTCATAACTGTCAGGGTGGTTAAATGCTGGAATAAATTGCTGAGGAGGCTGTGGAATCTTCATCACTGGAGATTTCTGAGAGCAGGTTAGACACCTGCCAGTGATGATCTAGATCAGCCATGGCCAGCCTGCAGCTTGCGAGCCGCATGCAGCTCTTCCCTCTCCATCAGTGCGGGTTGCGAAGCTGCCCCTGTGGCTCGCAAAGCCGCTACCGTGCTCCTGAGAATGGCTCCCCTGTTCTCACTGGGGTGCATGGTGTTTTCAATATGGCGATGTCCAGTGGGAGCCTGCTGAGGCCAAAAAGCATAGAAACGCGCTTCTTAAAGGGGCAGGCCTTTTTTTTCCTCTCTACAACTTTGCCCCTGCTCTTCGTGCTGGATCCACTAATATCTTGGCTCTTTATCAGGAATGGGTTGGCCACCCCGATCTAGATGGTGCTTGGTCCTACTGTAAGTCCTACTGGACTTGATGACCTCTTGATGTCCCTTCTAGTTCTGGTATTGTGTATCGAGGTAGAGGCTTGCATTTCCATTAGGGATATGATCAGCTAACCAGTAAGCATCACCCTTATCAGAGTCTACCTTTTGCAAATGTTTCTCTCCCCTCTTTTTTTTTAAGAGGTGTAAGTTCAAGCTCTGGTTTGCTTGCTTGTTTTTGCACCAGTGTCATCAGCGACGTTGGCCCAGCATAGAGAGGAGAGGCTGATGAAATGCTGCTGTGACCGCAGTCAGCAAAAATAAACATTTTTTAGGTTGTGGAGC